CCCCCTGCTTCCAACACCCCCACCCTCCCCATTTCTCCCCCACACCCTGGGGTCCTTCTCACAGCAGCGGCCCTGGGCACCATTTGGGCATAAGTGACTCATCTGACAGGAAAGTCATGTCAAACAGGAAAGAGATAGACATCTCTCTGCTCTTAGCTCCCTGCACCCCGCACCCCTGGGCCCAGCACCACGGCTCAGTGGCTGAGAGAAGTCACTTGACAGCCCAAAGGAAGATGAGATGCCGATAACCGCCTTCAAAGGGACAGTCAGGTAGGTCTCCTTCCTGGAGGGGCCGGTCCCACAGCTCCCCACCACCCCACCGCTGCTTCCCGCCCGGTCCCTGCCCGCTGACCCCACAGCGGTCCCCCTGGCCCCGCCGAGTGTCAGTTGCTCCAGGAAGGGCTGGCAGGGAGGAGGCGAAACCAATGTCAAAAAACCGAGGGCCGGGAATTTTCCTTGGGTTTCTTTTTACATGTCGACAGGCTATTCCTGTCCCCGTTGAGATACATCATTGATAGTGGCTGCCACTGGCTCGCGGCCTGTCCTCCGCCTGGAATAAACACCCTCAGGGCCCTCGCCGGGCTGGCGCCGCTCAGGAAGGGGCCCAGCAGGGTCTCCCCGCGGCTACGCCAGGTCCTCGGGTCCTCGGGCGGGTCGTCCCGCATGAGGGGACAGGACAGAGCTATTCCACTCTGGGCCCCCAAATACTCAGACCCTCTGTCGGAGGAATCCCACTTCGGGGAATCCGCCTGAGGAAATAACAGCCATGGAAAAAGCTTGATGCGCGAAGATGTTCAGCACGGCATTGTTTACAAAAGCAGCCGGCCCAAGGGCCCCGTGAGAGGCTGGGGAGGCGAACGTGGGGGAGGGGTCTGCAGGCAAGGACAGCGAGGCTCACGACCAAGTCGTGACCGTGTGGAAAACGCTCATGTTCTGATTAATGCTCAGTGTAAAAAGGCAGGATACGGAATAATCACGGCTACGTAAAAACAAACAAGACACTACGCACAGAGGAAAAAGACTCAGGAAATGCGTTAATTGTAACGTGTCCCAGGCCTGGGGCCCGTCTGCCCGCCTGGGTTCACCGCGTGGAAATCCACAGAGCGGTGCCCGCAGGACGTGCGCCCTGTGCCGTGTGTCTGTCTGGCCTCCAGCACATTCACGTTTTAAAAGTCAACCGTGGCTGGCTTCACGTGGCCTGTGTTTTTCGTTTCTTCTTTCTGTTTGTTGATATTTAGCAAATGCCAGAATTTAGCAAATCATCACACACTAAAAATCGTTACGTCTCTATCGACGTTATTTGACCCCCGTGGAAAGCAATCTCCTCCGTCTTTAGATTCTTTTCAAAGCAGTGGATCGGGAAACCTGAGGAAGGTGCTCTGTCCTTCTTTGGAAATGTTTTGAGGAGCGGATGAGACACTTTCTGAAAACCACGGAGCTCAAGGGGCTTTGAGGCCAGCCAGCCTGGGGCTGTCCACGCCGGGCACTCCCCACCCCGGCCAGGGGTCTGAGCGGGGCCTGGGGGCCAGAGCGGGGCGGGGCAGGTGGCAAAGCCACAGCCCAGCCGTCCGCTTCCAGGCACCTCCACCTCTCCCTTTTATCCGTTTTACATACATGGGCTTCGGAATGTTTATTTAAAGAAAAGCTTCTCTCCACGGAAAGAAAAAATTCATAATAACCCTCACTCTTTTCTTGAGAAAATAAGAGGGAAGAACCAAGACCTAGGGAGAGGAAGTGACCCCATCCCCCCCACGGCCACACGGGCAGCCACTGTCCCCAGTCACTCCCATGGCTCAGCGCGTCACGCGAGTGCCACCGCCGTGAAGGGGGCCAGCGCGTGGCTGTGAGACATTGTGACGAGACACTACGCACAAAACAAAACGACCGAAATCACAGGGACGTGCCCGCGGGACGTCCTCAGCCAGGGAGGTGCCCGCGGGACGTCCTCAGCCAGCAGTGATCGGTCCCGTCTCGGCAGACGGGCAGGAGAGTCTCCGCCGTGGGACCTCCATTTCCCACGCCGGGTGGCACGAAACGAAGACAGAACTGATGTCACTACGGTGGGGACGTCCGCCCCGTCAGCCCGACGCCCGTCAAGCAGACGGCAGACTCTCTCCGCTGGCACGCTTGAATTGTCACAAACGACCGGTGACCTCACTGGGAAAACACTCAGGGAACTCCCGCGCGTTGCTCGAAACACCGGGTAGACATGTGAAACAGGGAAACGCGGTGTCGTGGGCCGCAGGGTGGACTCCCGCCCGCCCCCCGCGCAGCCCGTAGCGTGTGGCAGTCGCTCGGCCGCGTCCTCACGCTCGGCTCCGCTCCCGCGGGGCCTTCCACACCCTTTGCTTGACGTGACGCGAGGGGCTTGGGGAGAAGGGGAGATTTTCGTCACTTGGAGTAACTGGCCTCTTTCCAAACGAATCTGCCTCGTACAGGAGAAAACGGAGACTCGCCAGGCCAGGACACAGACTGCTGACGTGTCCTCGGCACAGGGCGCTGAGCCTCCGGGGACTCTGGTTGCATAGCAACCAGCCAGGGTCCAAGCAGCATCAGCACAGCAGCAAATGAGGTCTGTGACGAGCGCTGTGGCCGGTCCCCAGCCCAGGTCCCCGACCTAATGCTTCTCTGTCAGTGGTTACCAGCCCCCCAAGATGACGCTGCCCGTAAATGTGCCACGGGCAGGCGGTGGGCTGAGGGCAGCCACTGGGCGCGCCTCTCAGCTGACAGCAGGCTGGCACGGTGCGCACGGCTTCTAGTCCTGGCTCTGCTAACGACAAAGCATGTGTCCTCGGGCAAGTCATCCCACCCTCAGGGCTGGTTCCTCGTTTGCAAAGTTAAAGAATTTGCCGGAAGAGACGTGAGGGCCCTGTGAGGAGCAGAGCTGTGGGTGTGAGTCTCGGCTGTGCCACCGCGAGCTGCAAAATCCACCACCGCTTTCAGCCTTAGTCACCTCGTGGTCACCTCGTGGTCACGGAGAAATCCCAGTGTGTACAGTGTGGGGTCTGCGGCCGGTTACGAGGAAGCCCTAATACGCAGAAATGGAAACGGGACGCAGAAGCACGTGCGCCAGGCGAGGCGGGGAGACCCCGAGTGCTGGCAGGGCCCCTCTGCGCCCCCCAGTGTGACAGACGGCGTTCTCAGCCTCCCGAGGAGCTGCCTCCACCCGCCCTGTGGGCGCCCGCCCGGCCCCTCACTGGAAACCGAGCGAGAGCCACAGTGTGCTGCCATCCTGCTAACCCTCCGGCTCGCCCACCACGTGGTCAAGCTATTCGGAGGTCACTGTGAGAACCCACTGAACTGCCGTGTGGGCCACTCCCCGCCAAGGCCTCACCCTTCCCTCCCAAGGCCCTCGACCTCCGCCTCCCACGGTCCGCAGCCAGAGCCTCGGAAAGTCACACACCAGGGGTGAGGGAGGACGGACAGCGTGTGGTCACGGGGGACAGCGTGTGGTCACGGGGGGCTCTCTCTCTCTCTCTCTGGACAGCGTGTCATCATGGGGGGACAGCGTGTGGTCACGGGGGGACAGCGTGTGGTCACGGGGGACAGCGTGTGGTCAGGGACAGCGTGTCGTCCCGGCGGGCAACCCCCCAGCAAAGTCGGGGCCCAGCCTGGCTCCCTGCAGGGCTTCCACGCGGGCCGCAGAGTGCGTTCTTGCAGTGAAGCCACGGACACCGGCGGTTTCCTCCG